CTGTAATCCCTCTTGAAGCACAGAAAATAGAATTATTAATTTAAATAATCTCTTTGAAATGAACTCATTATATCATATATGTGTTATGATTAGAATTTGTAAGAGAAATAAAATTTGCAACAATTGTCTAAATTCCACAGGATCAAAAATTTATAATTCTAATATAACATTTTCAAAATTTGTATTTTTAAAATGTTATAAAACTAAAACATTATTTTATATGTGTGTGTAAACAAGAAAACGTTTAATTATTTTCATGAAATGGAAATTATTATTAGACGACATGTTCCTTACATAAAAAAACATAAACAATGATTTAATCACGTTTTTGACTGAAAAAATGATTCATGTTCGATGTAACACTATAGAAAATTGTCATGATTTATTTAAGAAAATAATGAAATATTTTATCTAATTTCGGATTAAAGCACTGTGCAAAAAAGAATCAAAATTAAGGAAACCAGTTTTTAATAGTAAGATCATGGCCATGGATTTTATTATTAAGTAATCATATTATTTTGTAATAAATATAGAATGTATAAACTGTATGTATAAACTGTATTTTCTATCTTTTTAATAATTATTTTATTTAAAAAATTAATGATGTCTTTTCTTTCCAAATCTTACCACGCGTTAATAGTGGGGATATGAAAGCATCAATTGGTTCCGCCATATTGTTACTCAACCAATGAAAACTCTGACAAGATTGACCAGACTCTATTAAGGCCGTGTTCGGATATGCACTGCTAGTACTGAAAATCTGTAGTGTACGTTACGTATACTGTAGATTTTCAGTATGGTAGTGCATATCCAAACTAGAGTCCTAGATATCTGAGAAGCGCAACCGATGTTCCGCGTCCTGATTAGCAATATGTAATTATATGCTGATTAGCTGTGAATGTCCTGACTGTCAGCCAATCATGACATTCATTCAGTGGTATTAAAAATGGCTGACTAATAGATGATTGGTGGATTTTATATTTCGTCTGCAAACGACGCCATTTTTAATACTTTTCTTAGTAATTTTGCGATACTGACTTAAGCCGGTTGCGCTTCTCTGATATCTAGGGGTGTTTACGACAAATGATCGGATTTCCAATCCAATCGAACAGTGTGGTACTCATTTGGTACATTTCAAAAAAACTCCCTAGCTTAATCGGATTTTGGTGCCTGTCTCAGGAGGTAATCGGATTGAGTTGAACGGATCGTGAGAGAGGAACAATTTTGCGAATTTGCGTATGGACTTAATAAAAGCAGAGTGCATAAAGACAAAGAGATACATACGTTAACTATTATTGTAATAATTATTGTGTATTTTATTCTAAAATGTATATCAATAATGGAAATATGTATAGTATAGTTAAGAATTCTGAAAAAGTAAATATATAACCTCACTTTATTAATTTTTTATAAAATATGTATAATAAAATATTTTTTTGCAGAAGTATAAGATTTGCCAATTTTTAAATATTCCGTACAACAAATATATCCATCCTTATATGTATCCTGTAAATTAATAATTTATATAGATATATAATAAAATATA